GTCTACAACCACACAACATCAGATTACATCACAGAACACAAAATCAATCCTGTACGGGCTACTGAAAAAGTGGTCGTTATGACTACAATATTATGGGCTGGTATGGCCCCTTACTGAACAATGTACCCTACATTTGTGTTTCTTTAAGGTTGGGTGGTCCTGTGTAGGGTTGGTGTACGTTTATCTAGGCCTACTATGGGGGATATGTAGAATTCAAAAAATCTGTCCGGATTCCAAAAGCTGTCACCAAAAAAGCTATTGATTAATACTAACCTGACTTTTGAATGATTTTTAGGATTAGATACTATACCAACGAAAGGGTGGAAATGTTTTAACAATATTTTTGGTCGTGAACATGAGTTTCTTTCAGCTCAGCAGCACCAGCGTTATCTGATGCAAGAAACATGGTCATTTCCTTCAACCTTTAGGACTTTTTTCTCAGCACATCTTTTCCCATTCAGCATGACTGGACAGATACTGATCCCATAAAGTGCTTATTGGATGTTAAATATGTTAACTTTCAGGTATTTTAGGTATGTCTCAATGTAAACTGTAAAGTATTTTGTTTGTAATGTCTGTTTAGTTCTGTGCTAGACTCCAGGAAAACGATCTATCGTCATGGCATCAGCTAATGGGGATCCTAATAAAATCTGATCCAAATCCAAATCCTAGCTGCTGACTGACACCTGCAAACATTTCAAAAGTCAATTTATTAAAATCATTTATTTGTTGGTGTAAATAGTTATCCACCAGCAGGACCATTCCAGTTTAGCTAATCTATTTTTTCTGTTCCAGACATTTCAGCTTTTCCTTTTTTCATCTCTGCAGATCCATTCTGATAATGACTGACTTGAACATAAATTGAGTAATTCATTGAACAGCTGAGTTTGAACAAGTCTCGATGCAGATGGGCTAAACCAATGTACACTGAAGGAAAATACAAACGCTTCATGTAAAGTGTTGTTCCCATGTTTCATGAGCTGAAATAAAAGATCCCAGAAATGTTCCATACACACAAAAAGCTTAATTCTCTAAAATGTTGGGCAAAAATGTGTTTACATCCCTGTTAGTGAGCATTTCTCCTTTGCCAAGATAATCCATCCACCTAACAGGTGTGGCATATCAAGAAGCTGATTAAATTGCATGATCAATGCACAGGTGCACCTTGTGCTGGGGACAACACAATTTTATTAATGGAAATTTGAATGCACAGAGATACCGTGACGAGATCCTGAGGCCCATTGTCATGCCATTCTACCGCCACCATCACCTTATGTTTCAGCATGATAATGCACAGCCCCATGTTGCAAGGATCTGTTCACAATTCCTGGAAGCTGAAAATGTCCCAGTTCTTCCAGGGCCTGCATACTCAACAGACATGTCACCCATTGAGCATGTTTGGGATGCTCTGGATCGACGTGTACGATATCGTGTTCCAGTTCCGACCAATATCCAGCAACGTCGCACAGCCATTGAAGAGGAGTGGGACAACATTCCACAGGCCACAATCAACAGCCTGATCAACTCTTTGCGAAGGAGATGTGTTGCTCTGCACGAGGCAAATGGTGGTCACACCAGATACTGACTGGTTTTCTGATTTTAAGGTACACTATGTATACAAAAGTATGTGGACACCCCTTCAAATTAATGGATTCGGCTATGTCAGCCACACCCGTTGCTGACAGGTGTATACAATCGAGCACACAGCCATGCAATCTCCATAGACAAACATTGGCAGTAGAATGGCCTTACTGAAGAGCTGTGACTTTCAACGTGGCACCGTCATAGGATGCCACCTTTCCAACAAGTCAGTTTGTCAAATTTCTGCCCTGCTAGAGCTGCCCCAGTCAACTGTAAGTGCTGTTATTGTGAAGTGGAAATGTCTAGGAGCAACAACGGCTCAGCCGCAAAGTGGTAGGCCACACAAGCTCACAGAAAAGGACCGCCGTGTGCTGAAGTGCGTAGCATGTACAAATCATCTGTCCTCGGTTGCAACACTCCTTACCGAGTTCCAAACTGCCTCTGGAAGCAACGTCAGCACAAGAACTGTTAGTTGGGAGCTTCATGAAATGGGTTTCCATGGCCAAGCAGCCGCACACAAGCCTAAGATCACCATGCGCAATTCCATGCGCTACCTGCCCCAATGCATAGTGCCAACTGTAAAGTTTGGAGGAGGAATAAAGGTCTGGGGCTGTTTTTCATGGTTCGGGCTAGGCCCCTTAGTTCCAGTGAAGGGAAATCTTAACGTTATAGCATTCAACTACATTCTAGACGATTCTGTGTTTTCAACTTTGTGGCAACAGTTTGGGGAAGGTCCTTTCTTGTTTCAGCATGACAATGCCACCGTGCACAAAGTGAGGTCCATACAGAAATGGTTTGTCATATCTGTATTCCCAGTCGAGAAATCCAGGGCCTTATTAACTTATTTAAATTGACTGATTTCCTTATATGAACTGTAACTCAGTAAAATCTTGCAAGTTGCGTTTATTTTTGTTCAGTATAAATAAAGTCAACAAATAACAACTCACCTAAAGAAGCTAGCTATGAGGAATCGTGATCTATGACATCATGATTAGGCTACATATGAAGTTTCATTCCAAATGCTATATATCCATTTTCAGAAAGGTTGGTAAATTAGCTGTTATTGTTTAAAGAACTTATGAAAGAGATTGTTGTGTTTTTTTCACCATCTAAACATGGCATGGGGTTGTTCAATATCAGACATGTATTTGTTTGAAATCTATCACTTTGTTTCATTTCAGAGACAAATCAAGTTTTTTTGCAAAACGCTAAATATCCGCCTCACTCTCAGATAAATAAGTAGTACTGCTAGGTTTTACACAGTCAAATGTGACAAATAATTACATGTTTAATAAAGTACTGTACAAATAATACATTTGTGACATCAATTTCATTTTTTATGAATCGGTACAGTATATGAGATCTGTAGGTAAAATATTTACATTTGATATGTTTGTCATTTAGCAGAGACTCTTATCCAGAGCGACTTACAGTTAAGTGCATTCATCTTAAGATAGCTAGGTGAGACAACCACATATCACAGTCAAATATACAGGATACGTACATTCCATTCCAGCTAAACAATGGATATATAGCGTTTTGCAACAAAACCCATTTTAATACACATCTTAAATCTATGAATTAAAAATCTGAGAACAGTAAAATTTTACACACACACGAAGGTACCTATAAACAATAATTTCTGATGAAAAAAACACAAATGTGAAACAAACATAGCGTTTTGGAATGAAACTTTCCCTCTGTCAGTCATCAAATGTCAGTTTGATCCTATTTGATTGCTAATTGATCATATGCAATATGACTGCCCATATAAGGACATTCTGGATGCTGATTGTCAGATTAGCTGTGCTGGGACTTAGTGATCTCTATCTAGTGAGCTTCTGTGAGGGTGTCAGTGTCTAGCGACAATATAAGAGGCCTGTGTTTGATGTTGCAAGTCATATGAACTTTCTTCACCCTGAGGGCTGAGACCATATCTTGTCATAGCCTGCTACTACTACTACTACTACTACTACTACTACTACTACTACTACTACTGCTGTAAAGCCATGAAGACTGTTGCTTTCTTCTCCTTTGCATTAGTGCTGGTCTTCACTGCGACCACTAAGAGTTCGGAGTATTATCTTCTGCGGGATATCATGCACGAGGTTAACAAGACCCTCAATGGAGGCCCGGAGGTAAGAAGATTGAAATGTTGCGTATGACAAGTGGTTATAATGCATTATAACAGCATTATAATCCATTGTATCTACAGTGTTATCAAATGTTGCACTGCTCTATTGGATTAGAAGGCCTCTTGTTAAAAAATGAGAGCAAAGGGGTCATGAAAAATGACACGAATAACTAACATGTTGTTAGTTTCAGGCCCTTTTGGACAGTCTAGTGCCGGCGGGATTCGATCAAGATCGCTGCAGGGCAAACGGGGTAAGTTGTATCCATTTTCTCGATGAATATGATGAAAACATGATAGACAGTGTGCCATCATGGGCCGGTTTCCAAAGACACAGATGAAACCTAGTCCTAGAGACTGAAAACCACGTTCAATGGAGATTCACCATTGAAAGTGCTCCTTAGTCCAAGACCAGGCTTCATTTGTGTCCGGGAAACAGGCCCCTCAGTGATAACTACTGTTAACTTACTCATGTCAACACTTGTTGACGCAATCAGACACTTGTTAATGCTGACCAGAAAGTTGACAATATATTTTATAATATTCTACAGGCTATTGTAGCCATTACAGTAGCAGATTCATCAATAATTATGACTTTCTCAAATTCCAGCCTGAAGATTTCTGCATAGCTGAGAAGATTCTGTCTGACATAAACTATAAGCAGTACGGGATTAAAGACATATTGATCATCAGCAGAGTACTGAAGCAGTACAATAAGGTAAGGAATCATTCAGACAAATGGAAGCTTGGTTGGGGGGTGTACTCTAGCCTGGGCCGCAGATCTGTTTGTGCCGTCACGTCATCTCCTTGTCATGCCAAAGGAGTGGCACGACAGCACAAACAGACTGGGTACCCAGGCTAGGCTAGGTGTATTCAGTGAAACATCCAAAACGTTGCAGATATACATTTATGAATAGATACAATGCATTTATATATTGTAATGTTGAACCCAACATGCTCTAGTCAATCAAACAGTAACTACTACTCTGACTATTAGCCATAACAATTATCAGCGTAGAAAAAGGAACAGAACATATAGGGCGGTGTTCCAGACATGGATGAAGCCTAGTCCTGGACTAAAGATTCTCTTAATCTGGGTCCGTGAAACTGGCTTCATCCTAGTCCAGGAAAACGCCCCCATAATGCAGTACTATTTGATTCATCTGCAAAAAATCTTGTTTCTTTCCACAGGATGTATTGAACACCACGCATGTTGTAGGCAAACACCCTGAACCTTGTCGAAGTACAGTTGGGGTTCTATGGTAGTGTTCTGAGATCTTTAGACAGTCTATGGTTCTAAGTGGAATGTTCTCTGTTCTCTCCCCAGTTTCATCCAAGCAAATGTACTGTGAAGGAGAATGATGATGAGGAACAGCTCCACGATCTCCTGACAAACCTCTACAACTGTGCCCAGGTCATCTACTCCCGTCACCACCCTGCCGCTCATCACAAACGACCCCAGCAGTTTGCTGAGGGAACTGATGGAAACCCTGTCAACTCTGCATAGTCCAGTACCTCATATTATTATTTATTGAATTTAAATGTATTACATTTATTTATTTTACTATTTATGAATAAATTAACTTGTAAGTGGCAAAAAAATATTTTTCTAAATGTGGTTTATTGTTGAAGTGTGTTGATCTTAACACCTGTGCAGTACTACTGCACCAAAGACTTTCTAGACTTTACCTATTCCTGACTCTAGCCTCAAACTACATTTTATCATGTGGAATCACTGAAATATCTTGCAGTCTCCACACTAAAGCACTGGTAAAACACAATCATTAACATTATACTGTTTCATGTGTGGGGACCACCAGGCAAATCGTGGAACAAGGCAAATTCTTGGCAGTGCCATGGCGTTATAGCATCAATCAATCATTCACATTTATTTTATAAAGCCCTTTTTTACATCAGCAGTTGTCACAAAGTGCTTTACAGATACCCAGCCTAAAACCCCAGAGAGCAAGCAATGCAGAAGCACAGTGGTTAGAAAAAAACCTCCCTAGAAGACAGGAATAAACCTAGAGAGGAAGAAACCTAGAGAGGAAGAAACCTTGCCTGATTCTAATCTTAAAACATGCCACACATGGCAACCATACAAATCAAAATAAAAGTCTGAAATAAACAAAAAGAGATGTTGAAAAAGGACCAAGAAAGAGTGAGATTAAACATGTCCAATAATTTAATAAATTATTAAGAGATACGGGAGGGCTCAGTAGATGTAAACATTTGACAGACAGTATAATCCAAAATAAAGACACTTTGCTTCCACTACAATACACCATAAACGATGACATGAGGAGGAGGAAATACAAGCGTAATAAATGGCTTAGTTAGTGTTTCATGGGCGAATGGCACTACTATATTAACGGGTTAGCTGACAACGTCACGAAAATGATGCGCGCGTCGATAAGGCAGAAGTCAGTGTGGCGTTATGATTCTGAACAGTCAGTTCGCTAGCAGTAATGACGAGAAGCTACCATGTGAGGAATCGTAGGAGGCTGGTTTCAGCTCATTGTATCTTGTTATTAATACCATGTCTTGTTTTGACTGATGTCACGTCCATTCTAAAATTTGCTAGCAAACCAACAACTGTAAGGATGTATTTTAGAGACTAGTGCTCACTGTGCAAATGTATGTGTTTTCAATAAACATTGGAGACTAAATGCAATTTGCACCATATTTGCGAACCCGTCTATAGAACCGGTATGGCATGCACGTCCTACTCTTCAGACACAAAGAAGGAAACTAAGTTTAAAGCAATACACTTCCATAAGTATGATCCTTGAAATAAGGGTATTATGACCTGTGGATATGAATCATTTCTGGAATCGTTTTTTTTTTTTTGTTGACTGTGTTGAAGGGCGTCAGATGTATCAATTACATCCTGCCAATAGAAGTGGTGGCGTCTTCATCTCAAACAGCAGACCGTTGTTGTTGTTGAGTGTTGGAGTTGTTGTCTTCGTCTTGGCAGATTTAAGACATGTTCAAAAACCATGGCTTGTGCTCATCATAGACTACTATCTGCATCTCAAATGGCACCCTATTCCCTATTTAGTGCACTACTTTTAACCAGAGCCCTGTTGGGACACCCTATGAGCCCTGGTCAAAAGTAGTGCACTATATAGGGAATAGGGTGCCATTTGGGAGATAATGTGTTGCCCCCTGAACTGTGCTCGATTGATACATTAAGACTCAATAGTAAGCTGACTATCCTCAACAAGCCTCCGTTTATTATTATACAAGGTCCCCTTGACTTGAACATTAACCCCCAGTATAAGGGCCAGGTCCAAACGGCACCCTATTCCCTATAGGGTGCCATTTGGGACGACCCCTAAATCCTACAGTACAGTTTCTGCTGCCTGCTCTCTCCCTGACCAACCAACCAACCAACCAACGTTTCCTCTCCTCCCTTCACATTTAAAACCTTATTTCGGCTATACAGTGTATTAAGACAATCAACAATAAAGATCTTCAGGCTCGACTATTGACTGACTGCTGTCGTTGATCCTAAGGTATAGTAGTGTAGATTCATTGCAGTACATGGGGCTCCAGCCCTGATTGGCTCTCTCCCTGTCTCTCTCACTGCAGCAGGGATTCCATCACAGCCTCGGGCTTCGCTGATCTTTTCCTGTCAGGAGATAAGAGGAGAGCTGTATCACAAATGGCAACATTCTCCCTATATAGTGCACTACTTTTAACCTGGGCCAATAGGGAATAGGGTGCCATTTGAGACACAGGTGAGATGATCATGGGGTTAATATACAAACCATTAAGAACACCTGCTCTTTCCATGACAAAGACTGACCAGGTGAATTCAGGTGAAAGCTATGACCCCTTATTGATGTCACCAGTTAAATCCACTTCAAATCAGTGTAGATGAAGGGGAGGAGACAGGTTAAATAACTATTTTAAAGCCTTGAGACAATTGAGACATGGATTGTGAATATGTGCCATTCAGAGAGTGAATGGGCAAGACAAAATATTTAAGCGCCTTTGAACGGCCTATGGCAGTAGGAGTACCAGTTTGTGTCAAGAACTGCAACGCTGCTGGGTTTTTCACGCTCAACAGTTTCCTGCGTGTATCAAGAATGGTCCACCACCCAAAGGACATCCAGCCAACTTGACACAACTGTGGGAAGCATTAACATGGGCCAGAATCTACCTTGTAGAGTCCATCTGACGAATTGAGGCTGTTCAGAAGGCAAAAGGGTATTCAATATTAGGAAGGTGTTCCTAATGTTTTGTACACTCAGTGTACAGTATATATTTCTTATGCTTCTAGGGAAGTGACATTAAGATCGACCAGAAAGCAGCATATATCTGATCATAATATGTAGTATTTCTCAGAACAGGGTGATAACAGCTTTTACAGTAACATTTCACCATGGGACATACACCTGATGAAGTGTTACATTATTATATAGAAAACCATTACTTCAGATAGACTTTATAGTCCTCGCTATAATAGGACATTTATTCAGAAATTAAATATTACTATGGTTGTTATTGTCATTATAATTTGTATTTGTATTCTAATGGTTAGATTTAATAATATTATTCATGGTGGATAATCATGTACTGGGAGACAGACGGTGGCGATGGTTTACCTTCGTCCAGTCTTGGGCCTACCGCTCTTGGAGGTCCTGGGCCTCTCCAGCTTCATCAGTGACTGTCTCATACTCTCCTCTGTGTAGGCCAAGTACACATGGGACAGGTCCACCTCAAACGGCTGAGGGAAGAGAGGAAGGAGAGAGGGATGGAGAGAGAGATGGAGAGAGGGTGGTGGAGGAAGAGAGAGGGATGGAGAGAGATGGAGAGAGAGATGGAGAGAGGGTGGTGGAGGAAGAGAGAGGGAGGGAGAGAGGGGGTGGAGGAGGAGATAGGGATTGGGGAGAGAGGATGGGAGCGAGGTGGTGGTGGGGACGTAGAAGAGTGATGGAGAGAGATGGAGAGAGGGTTGGGGAAGAGGAGGGATGGAGAGAGAGGGATGCGCGTGGAGAGAGAGATGGAGCGAGGGTGGTGGAGGAAGAGAAGGGTGGAGGAGATGGCTGGGTGGTGGAGGAGGAGAAGGATTGAGGGATGAGCGGAGATAGAGAGGGGTGGGGCTCGCGAGTGATGGAGGGAGAGGATGGACGAGGAGGTGGGGGAGATGGAGACGGGGTGGGAGACGAGCGGGTGGAGCGCCGGATGGACGAGAGAGAGGTGGAGAGACCGGGTGGTGGGGGGGGCGGGCGAGGGATGGGAGGAGAGAGGGCTAGAGGGGTGGGGGGTGAGGGAGGGGATGGAGCGGAGGAGAGAGAGTAGAGCGGGATGGAGGGGTGGTGGGACGGGAGAGGAGGTGGCGCGGGGAGAGGGTGGGCGAGAGAGAGGAGGGGGGTGGGGACGGGCGGGAGAGCGAGGGTGGTGGCAGGCGAGCGAGGAGGGTGGTGGGCGACGGAGGGGGGATGGAGGAGAGAGAGGGGTGGTGGGAGACGGCCTGGGGGGGGGTGGAGGGGTGCGGAGAGGAGTGGGGGCGTGGCGCGGGGTGGGGTTGGGGAGCGGGGCGGGGGAGGGGGTGGCGAGGGGGGCGGGATTGGGGGAGGTGGGAGCGGATGGGGCGAGGTGCGCAGGGGAGGGCGGCGCGGGGAGCAGGCCGCGAGAGGGGGTGGGAGGCGGGGTGGGGGCGGGAGCGGGATGGGAGGAGAGGGGAGGCGCGCGGGGGGGGTGAGGAGTAAGGGGGGGGACGATGCGAGGCTGGTGGGAGCGAGAGGGGGGCGGGGATGGTGGAGGAGGTGGGAGGGTGCGGGGCGGTTTGGGAGACGGACGGGAGGGGGCGGGTGGGGGGTGGACGAGAGGGGAGGGGGATGGGGTGGGGGCGGGTGGGGGGCGCGAGGAGAGCGGCTGGGGGGGGGGCGCCGCGCAGGGCGGGGACTGGCGCCTGAGGGGGGTGGGGCGACGCAGGGTGGAGCGAGCGACTGGGCGGCGGTGTGGGGAGGGCTGGCGCTGGCGAGAGGGAGTGGTGGCGAGCCGCGGGTGGGGCGAGTAGCGAGTGTAGGGGGGGCGCGCGGGCTGGGGAGGGCTGGCGCGCGGTGAGGTGGTGGGGAGACGCGGCTGGGGCGGCAGCGGTGGAGGAGCGGGGTGGGAGGCGGCTGCTTGAGAGCGCGGGTGGAGACAGCGCTGGCGCGCGAGATGGTGGTGGCGGCTGAGAGGAAAGGAGAGAGAGAGTGGACGGTGGTCGCGGGCGATGGAGAGCGTGGAGAATGATGGGGGGTGGTGCGGCCGAGCGCGGAGAGAGGGATGGAGAGCGAGATGGGAGAGGGGTGGGGTGGGGAGAAGAGAGAGGGATGAGAGAAGAGATGGGGGGTGGTGGAGGAAGAGAAAGAGGGTAAAATAATATTATCCAGATTCACTATGCTGTGTTTGTCTTCTTCGTGTTAACAACGTCTTACGTAGGCTTGAACTAAGAACTCACATCTTTCTCTTTCTTGTCCGGCACGGGGGTCTGTTTCCTCATGTTGTTACCGGTGTACGCTACACATTTCTGAGGAGGAACAAGTAAACATGGAAACAATGTCAGCAGCATGAGGCAATCACACCAATGTGGCTCTGTACTGTCTATGTTAACGAAGAAACTCCCTCCCCTTAGCCTAATTACTCTCAGGCTAAATATTTCACTGTGGCTGTATGCAGAACTCACCAGCTGCCATTCCCCAATGTCCTCATTCCAGTGCACGTAGTTCTCAATCATCTCCTGGACCAGACAGGGAGAAGCAGGAACCATATTAGCATCAGTGCTAACTAAATACGCTCTCACACAAACAATAAATGGATGGACACACACACAAACATACATACAGTGAGGGGAAAAAAGTATTTGATCCCCTGCTGATTTTGCACGTTTGCCGACTGACAAAGACATGATCAGTCTATAATTTTAACGGTAGGTTTATTTGAACAGTGAGAGACAGAATAACTTTTTTAAAAATCCAGAAAAACGCATGTCAAAAATGTTATACATTGATTAGCATTTTAATGAGGGAAATAAGTATTTGACCCCTCTGCAAATACTTGACTTAGTACTTGATGGAAAAACCCTTGTTGGCAATCACAGAGGTCAGACGTTTCTTGTAGTTGGCCACCAGGTTTGCACACATCTCAGGAGGGATTTTGTCCCACTCCTCTTTGCAGATCTTCTCCAAGTCATTAAGGTTTTGAGCCTGACGTTTGGCAACTCGAACCTTCAGCTCCCTCCACAGATTTTCTATGGGATTAAGGTCTGGAGACTGGCTAGGCCACTCCAGGACCTTAATGTGCTTCTTCTTGAGCCACTCCTTTGTTGCCTTGGCCGTGTGTTTTGGGTCATTGTCATGCTGGAATACCCATCCACAACCCATTTTCAATGCCCTGGTTGAGGGAAGGAGGTTCTCACCCAAGATTTGACGGTACATGGCCCCGTCCATCATCCCTTTGATGTGGTGAAGTTGTCCTGTCCCCTTAGCAGAAAAACACCCCCAAAGCATAGTGTTTCCACCTCCATGTTTGACGGTGAGGATGGTGTTCTTGGGGTCATAGGCAGCATTCCTCTTCCTCCAAACATGGCGAGTTGAGTTGATGCCAAAGAGCTCGATTTTGGTCTCATCTGACCACAACACTTTCACCCAGTTCTCCTCTGAATCATTCAGATGTTCATTGGCAAACTTCAGACGGGCCTGTATATGTGCTTTCTTGAGGAGGGGGACCTTGTGGGCGCTGCAGGATTTCAGTCCTTCACGGCGTAGTGTGTTACCAATTGTTTTCTTGGTGACTATGGTCCCAGCTGCCTTGAGATCATTGACAAGATCCTCCCGCGTAGTTCTGGGCTGATTCCTCACCGTTCTCATGATCATTGCAACTCCACGAGGTAAGATCTTGCATGGAGCCCCAGGCCGAGGGAGATTGACAGTTATTTTGTGTTTCTTCCATTTGCGGATAAATCGCACCAACTGTTGTCACCTTCTCACCAAGCTGCTTGGCGATGGTCTTGTAGCCCATTCCAGCCTTGTGTAGGTCTACAATCTTGTCCCTGACATCCTTGGAGAGCTCTTTGGTCTTGGCCATGGTGGAGAGTTTGGAATCAGATTGATTGATTGCTTTTGTGGACAGGTGTATTTTATACAGGTAACAAGCTGAGATTAGGAGCACTCCCTTTAAGAGTGTGCTCCTAATATCAGCTCGTTACCTGTATAAAAGACACCTGGGAGCCAGAAATCTTTCTGATTGAGAGGGGGTCGAATATTTATTTCCCTCATTAAAATGCAAATCAATTTCTAACATTTTTGACATGCGTCTTTCTGGATTTTTTTGTTGTTATTCTGTCTCTCACTGTTCAAATAAACCTACCATTAAAATTATAGACTTATCATTTCTTTGTCAGTGGGCAAACGTACAAAATTATTATCAAATAAACCTACCATTAAAATTATAGACTGATCATTTCTTTGTCAGTGGGCAAACGTACAAAATCAGCAGGGGATCAAATACTTTTTTCCCCTCACTGTACATACCACACACACACACACACACACACACACACACACGTTTACAACATGTAGACAGACAGACATGAAGTCGTCACACACCTACACACACACACACACACACACACACACACACACCTGGTATTCCTGTGGGATGAAGTTGTCTATGATGAGCATCTGCAGTCGTAGCTCTCTGCTGAGGTGGCGGATATTCTCCAGCAGGCCCTCGATCTCCCGGTGATGCTCCTGCTGCAGGTCGGCCATCTGACAACACAACAACAACAACCTCTCAACAACCACAGAACCAATGCTATGTGTTAATTGAATAAATTAAGCAATGCCGTGTGTTAATGAGGTATCAACACAACAAGGGAGAGGGACACCTAATCAGTTGTACATCTGAATGCATTCAACTGAAATGTGTCTTCCGTATTTAACCCAACCCCTCTGAATCAGAGAGTGGGGGGGGGCTGCCTTAATCGACATCCACGTCATCGTCACCCGGGGAACAGTGGGTCAACTTCCTTGCTCAGGGGCAGAACAACATATTTTTTACCTTGTCAGCTCAGGGATTCAATCCAGCAACCTTTCGGTTACTGGTCCAATGCTCCAACCCGCCAGGCTACCTGCCGCCCAACAAGGCCCCAGTCCTGTGTTTTAACCGACTTGGGATGCATCCTATTCACTATATAGTGCACTAGTTTTCACCAGAACCCTGTAGGACTTGGACATTCTTACCTCTGACTTAGCAGCCATCAGCATGGTCCAGACTTTCTTCAGCTTCTTGGTCTTCCCCTGAGCCTCCTCCTGCAGACTGGTGTACTTCTCCTCAATGTCCAGACGCTCCGCCTGCATGGACGTCACAAAACAAGGCAGGGAGTTTGGGATTTCATTTAAATCATTAAATGGGAAACCTCACCACTATTTAACGTCATATTAATTATATATTTTCCCCCATTGTGGTCTTCTCTGGCAACAAGATGGAGTTATTTGGCTGTCTCAAATGAAAATCTATTCCCTATGTAGTGCACTACTTTTGACCAAAGTCAGTTTGCAGATTTTTATTATGTTCAATTCCTCTGCTCATCGACAGATGCCATTGCCATTTTCAGACTGAGGAAAGCAAAGCAGGCACCTGATCTGAACTAGCAAGGTTCTGACTGGTTTGACTTAGTGGACCTTTAAGACGGTATTCAAACTTTTTCACCAGAAATTCTGCCATCCACACCCCACCCCACCCAAAATCTAATTAAAACCTTCAAAATCGGTAAATGTTGATTTTCAGATCAACAAATAACATTAATGTCTCATCAAAATGAAGATAACCAATAAATAAATGTACTCATCTTTCAACAACAACAACAAATATTGCCCCCCCCCTTGGCATAGGGCTCTTTTCAAAAGTAGTGCACTATGTAGGGAATAGGGTGCCATTTGGACATGCCACAGTTGTTTTTTACGTTATGACTCATTTCGGTATCCAATATGCTGGGCATGATGATGATGATGTCATATCCTTTTCCTTTCGGTGCCGTCTCACCAATCTATCACATCTCCACAGCGCCACTTATCAGTGATCATTATCCCCGCTCCACTCAGATAGACAGGAAGTGTGGAGGTGAGTGAGTATTCTAATGCAGAAATGACTGCAATGCGGCAGGATAAGGAAGGGGAGGTAACCACTGAGAAAATACAGTTGAAGTCTGAATTTTACATACACCTTAGCCAAATACACGTTTTTCACAATTCCTGACATTTAATCCTAGTAAGAATTCACTGTCTTAGGTCAGTTAGGATCACCACTTTATTTTAAGAATGTGAAATGTCAGAATAATAGTAGAGAGAATGATTTATTTCAGCTTTTATTTCTTTCATCACATTCCCAGTGGGTCAGAAGTTTACATACACTCAATTAGTATTTGGTAGCATTGCCTTTAAATTGTTTAACTTGGGTCAAACGTTTCGGGTAGCCTTCCACAAGCTTCCCACAATAAGTTGGGTGAATTTTGGCCCATTCCTCCTGACAGAGCTGGTGTAACGGAGTCAGGTTTGCAGGCCTCCTTGCTCGCACATGTTATTTTCCAGTTCTTCCCACAAATGTTCTATAGGATTGAGGTCAGGGCTTTGTGATGGCCACTCCAATACATTTGACTTTGTTGTCCTTAAGCTATTTTGCCAAAACTTTGGAAGTATGCTTGGGGTCATTGTCCATTTGGAAGACCCATTTGTGACCAAGCTTTAACTTCCTGACTGATGTCTTGAGATGTTGCTTCAATATATCCACATCATTTTCCTTCCTCATGATGCCATCTATTTTGTGAAGTGGACCAGTCCCTCCTGCAGCAAAGCACCCCCAAAGAATGACGCTGCCACCCCCGTGCTTCACGGTTGGGATGGTGTTCTTCGGCTTGCAAGCCACCCCCTTTTCCCTCCAAACATAACGATAGTCATTATGGCCAAACAGTTCTATTTTTGTTTAATCAGACCAGAGGACATTTCTGCAAAAAGTACGATCTTTGTCCCCATATGCAGTTGCAAACCGTAGTCTGGCTTTTTTTATGGCGGTTTTGGAGCAGTGGCTTCTTCCTTGCTGAGCGGCCCTTCAGGTTATGTCGATATAGGGCTTGTTTTACTGTGGATATATATTATTTTGTACCTGTTTCCTCCAGCATCTTCACAAGGTCCTTTGCTGTTGTTCTGGGATTGATTTGCACTTTTCGCACCAAAGTACGTTAATCTCTAGGAGCCAGAACGCGTCTCCTTCCTGAGCGGTATGATGGCTGCGTGGTCCCATGGTGTTTATACTTGCGTACTATTCTTTGTACAGATGAACGTGGTACCTTTAGGCATTTGGGAATTGCTCCCAAGGATGAAGCAGACTTGTGGAGGTCTACAAGTTTTTGTCTTGGCTGATTTCTTTTGATTTTCCCATGATATCAAGCTGAGTTTGAAGGTAGGCCTTGAAATACCTCCAATTGACTCAGATTATGTCAATTAGCCTATCAGAAGCTTCTAAAGCCATGACATAATTTTCTGGAATTTTCCAAGCTGTTTAAAAAGGCACAGTCAACTTAGTGTATGTAAACTTCTGAACCACTGGAATTGTGATCCAGTGAATTATAAGTGAAATAATCGGTCTGTAAACAATTGTTGGAAAAATTACTTGTGTCATGCACAAAGTAGATGTCCTAACAGACTTGCCAAAACTATAGTTTGTTAACATGAAATTTGTGGAGTGGTTGAAAAACAAGTTTTAATGACTCCAACCTAAGTGTATGTAAACTTTAGACTTCAACTGCATGTCTTACAGCTCTTCAGTTGTCTGAACTAGGAGTTAGCGTGGTTACCCCTCCCCTACAATGTACTCTAGATTATATAATATTCTGTGATATAACTCCATCTCATCCAGTTCTCTGCAGCGCTGCTTTGAGTTGATAGTATTACCTCCATATAGAGATGTACAGTGCTTTCGGAAAGTATTCACACCCCTTGCCTTTTCCACATTTTGTTGTGTTACAGCCTGAATTTTCGAAAAACATAACATTATTCCACTTCAACATTATGGGGTATTGTGTGTAGGCCAGTGACACAAAATCTCAATTTAATCCATCATAAAATTCAGGCTGTAACACAACAAAAATTTGGAAAAAGTGAATACTTTCTGAAGGCATTGTGATATTATGTGTGAGGTTATATACCTCCTTCTCCTCTAGCTCTCTGCGGAGCTGCTCAGCCCTCCTGCGTCTCTCCTCTAACTCATTGTTAGACTCCTGCAGTAGTTTCTCCTGCTCCTCAGCCTTGGCCAGGAGGTCCACTCCTCCTACGATCACCTTCTTCTCCAGGGCTGACAACTTCTCCAGCAGCAGGTGGTGCTCCTGCCTGGGGGGAGGAGGATAGAGGTCAGGGGTCAGCAGATCTGAAAATACCTTTAGTAGGCTGGGTGTACTTTCTGCCATTTTGCTTATAGCCTTCTAGATTTCTCCGATCTACAAGAGGGCATCCAAAAGTATCTAGGGGTAGGGGGGGGCTAGCGTTAGATAATATTTCAAAGCAGTAGATTATTCTTCAAACTTGGGAATTTGGGGAATGTTTCTGGAATTTTGCAACCCCAGACTGTCCTCACTGTGCTTTGAGCAGGTCCTTCTCTCTCTTCTCCAGTTCTGCCCTGGCCTTGTTCCTCTCCTCCTCCTCCATGTCCAGCTTGGCTTCTAGCTCCTTCCTCTCTTCCTCGATCTTCGCCTGCATCTCCACCATCTTGTCAGGAGAAACTTTCTTCTTCCCTTTAATAATAATAATAATAATAATAGTGATCATCATTTATTTGACTCATAGAGCCATCCCCTAGGCCACAGCCATCATGGACGTTTCTTAATGCCATGTCATTCTTTAGATCCTTCCTACTACTTCAACCCACCGGCTCAGGGGTGAAGTTTCCCCTATGCCGCAGAATGCAGATCTAGGATCAGCTTCCCATCCATCCCTCAATTCTAACCTTAACCATTAGAAAATGCAAAACTGATCCAAGATCTGAGTCTAGGGGGCAACTTCACCCTACACCCAACCCAGTCTGATTCGTAGGTTTGCTTAGGCAGCACTAGCCTGGACCCAGATCAGTTTGTCTGCTGTCTTGCCAACGCCTATGGTCATTTGGATAAAAGCGTCTGCTAAATGGCATATTATATTATTATATTATTGTCAAACCATGCACAAACAGACCTTGGACCAGGCTAAGACAGCACATCATATTACAACGGTCAATTAGTAAAATATTAGATTTAATACACTCTCAAGGTGTTAGATAGTAGCTACAGTAAAAAACAGCAACAACTGTATGAACTAGCTCCTTGATGAGACACCAGTCAGTACTTTCAGGAGAAAATATTCATTAGATCAAGAGCAGGATGTTGAAGGGTGATTTTAAAGACCTCTGTATGTCCCAACTAGCACCCCATTTCCCTATATAGTGCACTACACTTGACCAGAGCTCTATGAGCCCTGGTCAAAAGTAGTGCACTATATAGGGAATAGGGTGCCATTTGAGACCTGTTTCTAGACAGAGTGCTGGCCTCAGGCCTTCTACAGTGAAGCTCAAGACAGTTATTTCCTCTTCAGATATTCATATGTCACAATGAGCACAAGGCTCTCTCTCTCTCTCAGAGTTACAGACGTGAAGACGTGACTGATGAGGACGCCCATGACAGACAGTAGAATAGCGAGAACCTTCATCCTGACTGACTCAACCGTAGATTTAACTCTGTTGCCATTTTTTTGTTAGCTTTAAAATTAGTTAGTCAATTAAATTAAATTATATTAGTATTAGTTCACTGAAAGACATTGCAATTATAACCTGGTCCCAGATCTGTCTGACGACCAGAGTAAAGAAGTTGCCTGGGCACATACAGATCCAGGACCAGACTAGAGACATTGGCTGTATCTCAAATGGTACCCTAGTACCTATTTTGTGCACTAATTTTGACCAGGGCCAACTACATAGGGAATAGGGTAGAGTTTGGAACACAGCCATTATTGATTGTGGTCAGTTGGGGAAGCAGCTTATACAGTGCCTTCGGGAAGTATTCCGACCACATAACTTTTTCTCCCCATTTTGTTACGTTACCGCTTTATTCTAAAATTGATTAAGTTTTTTTCTTTTTTTTTCATCAACCTACACACAATACCCCATAATGACAAACAAAAACAGGATTTTAGAATTTCCTGCTAATAAAATAAATAAATAAATAAATGAAATATCACATTTACTTAAGTACTCAGACCCTTTACTCAGTACTTTGTTGAAGCACCTTTGGCGGCGATTACAGCATGATGGAGGTCACTGTGTTCTTGGGGACCTTCAATGCTGCAGATATTTTTTGGTACCCTTCCCCAGATCTGTGCCTCGACACAATCCTGTCTCGGAGCTCTACGGACAATTCCTTCGACCTCATGGCTTGGTTTTTGCTCTGACATGCACTGTCAACTGTGGGACCTTATATAGACAGGTGTGTGCCTTTCCAAATCATGTCCAATCAACTGAATTGACCACAGGTGGACTCCAATCAAGTTGTAGAAACATCTCAAGGATGATCAATGGAAACAGGATGCACCTGAGCTCAATTTCGAGTCTCATTGCGAAGGGTCTGAATACTTATGTAAATAAGGTATTTCTGTTTGTTTTTATAGATTTGCTAATATTTCTAAAAACCTGTTTTCGCTTTGTCATTATGGGATATTGTGTGTAGATTGCTGAGGATTTGTATTTATTTAATCCATTTTAGAAAAAGGCTGTAACGTAACAAAATGTGGAAAAGGTCAAGGGTCTGAATACTTTCCGAATGCACCGTATGGGAGTTATTTATCTATAGAGGATGTTCTGGCACCAACCTCTTTCTTCTTGTATTAAGTATAGCGAGCCAGAGTCAAACAGGAAGCATTTTGCACCAGGAGGAGAAAGAAGATATTACACAGTGACCTGGAACAGTCTTATAGATTCTACAGAGAGGAGGCACATACACACAGACAGAAAGAGAGACACAGAGAGAGAGAGACAGACAGAGGGAGACAGAGAGGGAGACAGAGGGAGGAGAGACAGAACGAGAGAGAGAAACAGAAAGACATAAATAGAGAGAGATATAGAGAGCAACAGGATCAGCATGATAGGAGTGACATAAAACAGGAAATAGATCAATGTGTCTTTTGATAAATGACACAATGGAGATGAAAATGAATGTTGTTTTCCAAAACCCTGTATGACCCCAACCTTGTCCCTCCTAAACGTTTCCAACCAAAGCCCTGTTTGACCCCAACCTTGTCCCTCCTAAACGTTTCCAACCAAAGCCCTGTGACCCCAACCTTGTCCCTCCTAAACGTTTCCAACCAAAGCCCTGTGACCCCAACCTTGTCCCTCTTAAACGTTTCCAACCAAAGCCCTGTGACCCCAACCTTGTCCCTCTTAAACGTTTCCAACCAAAGCCCTGTGACCCCAACCTTGTCCCTCCTAAACGTTTCCTACCAAAGCCCTGTGACCCCAACCTTGTCCCTCTTAAACGTTTCCAACCAAAGCCCTGTGACCCCAACCTTGTCCTTCTTAAACGTTTCCAACCAAAGCCCTGTGACCCCAACCTTGTCCCTCCTAAATGTTTCCAACCAAAGCCCTGTTTGACCCCAACCTTGTCCCTCCTAAACGTTTCCAACCAAAGCCCTGTGACCCCAACCTTGTCCCTCTTAAACGTTTCCAACCAAAACCCTGTTGTACGTCTTTAAGAAACAAACTGATTATAAAAACAGACAAGACAGTTACAGTGGGGGAAAAAAAAGTATTTAGTCAGCCACCAATTGTGCAAGTTCTCCCACTTAAAAAGATGAGAGAGGCCTGTAATTTTCATCATAGGTACACGTCAACTATGACAGACAATATGAGAAAAAAAAAATCCTGAAAATTACATTGTAGGAATTTTAATGAATTTATTCGCAAATTATGGTGGAAAATAAGTATTTGGTCAATAACAAAAGTTTCTCAATACTTTGTTATATACCCTTTGTTGGCAATGACACAGGTCAAACGTTTTCTGTAAGTCTTCACAAGGTTTTCACATACTGTTGCTGGTATTTTGGCCCATTCCTCCATGCAGATCTCCTCTAGAGCAGTGATGTTTTGGGGCTGTCGCTGGGCAACACAGACTTTCAACTCCCTCCAAAGATTTTCTATGGGGTTGAGATCTGGAGACTGGCTAGGCCACTCCAGGACCTTGAAATGCTTCTTACGAAGCCACTCCTTCATTGCCCGGGCGATGTGTTTGGGATCATTGTCATGCTGAAAGACCCAGCCACGTCTCATCTTCAATGCCTTTGCTGATGGAAGGCCCCATTCATTCTTTCCTTTACACGGATCAGTCGTCCTGGTCCCTTTGCAGAAAAACAGCCCAAAGCATGATGTTTCCACCCCCATGCTTCACAGTAGGTATGGTGTTCTTTGGATGCAACTCAGCATTCTTTGTCCTCCAAACACGACGTGTTGAGTTTTTACCAAAAAGTTATATTTTTGGTTTCATCTGACCATATGACATTCTCCCAATACTCTTCTGGATCATCCAAATGCATTCTAGCAAACTTCAGACGGGCCTGGACATGTACTGGCTTAAGCAGGGGGACACGTCTGGCACGGCAGGATTTGAGTCCCTGGCGGCGTAGTGTGTTACTGATGGTAGGCTTTGTTACTTTGGTCCCAGCTCTCAGAAGAGGATTGGGAGAATGCTATATAGAACTTTTTGGTAAAAACTCAACTCGTCGTGTTTGGAGGACAAAGAATGCTGAGTTGCATCCAAAGAACACCATACCTACTGTGAAGCATGGGGGTGGAAACATCATACTTTGGGGCTGTTTTTCTGCAAAGGGACCAGGACGACTGATCCGTGTAAAGGAAATAATGAATGGGGCCTTCCATCAGCAAAGGCATTGAAGATGAAACGTGGCTGGGTCTTTCAGCATGACAATGATCCCAAACACACCGCCCGGCCAACGAAGGAGTGGCTTCGTAAGAAGCATTTCAAGGTCCTGGAGTGGCCTAGCCAGTCTCCAGATCTCAACCCCATAGAAAATCTTTGGAGGGAGTTGAAAGTCCATGTTGCCCAGCGACAGCCCCAAAACATCACTGCTCTAGAGGAGATATGCATGGAGGAATGGGCCAAAATACCAGCAACAGTGTGTGAAAACCTTGTGAAGACTTACAGAAAACGTTTGACCTGTGTCATTGCCAACAAAGGGTATATAACAAAGTATTGAGAAACTTTTGTTATTGACCAAATACTTATTTTCCACCATAATTTGCAAATAAATTCATTAAAAATCCTACAATGTGATTTTCTGGATTTTTTCCCCTTACTTTGTCTGTCATAGTTGACGTGTACCTATGATGAAAATTACAGGCCTCTCATCTTTTTAAGTGGGAGAACTTGCACAATTGGTGGCTGACTAAATACTTTTTTCCCCCACTGTATCTATAGGACTGGCAGGGGAAGGCTGTGTCCTTATATCTATAGGATTGGCAGGGCAGGCAGGCAGGGGAGGTTAACATTAGGAGGGGGTAGTTGGTTAGCCTGATCCTGAGGTATACATGCTTTAGATAACGTCTGGTCAACAATACTATGAGGAGTTAGCCAAAGCACTTGATATCAGGGCCAGTATGTGCAGTACCAGTCAGAAGTTTGGACACACCTACTCATTCAAGGGTTTTTCTTTATTTTTACTATTTTCTACATTGTAGAATAATAGTGAAGACATCAAAACTATGAAATAATACATATGGAATAATGTAGTAACCAAAAACGTGTTAAACAAATCAAAATATATTTTATATTTGAGATTCTTCAAATAGCCACCCTTTGCCTTGATGACAGCTTTGCACACTCTTGGCATTCTCTCAACCAGATTCATGAGGTATTCACCTGGAATGCATTTCAATTAACAGGTGTACCTTGTTAAAAGTTAATTTGTGGAATCTCTTTCCTTCTTAATGCATTTGAGCCAATCAGTTGTGTTGTGACAAGGTAGGGGGGGTATACAGAAGATAACTCTATTTGGTAAAAGACCAAGTCCATATTATGGCAAGAACAGCTCAAATAATCAAAGAGAAATTACAGTCCATTATTACTTTAAGACATGAAGGTCAGTCAATATGGAACATTTCAAAGTTTCTGCAAGTGCAGTCGCAAAAACCATCAAGCGCTATGATGAAACTGGCTCTCATGAGGACCACCACAGGAATGGAAGACCCAGAGTTACCTCTGCTGCAGACGATAAGTTCATTAGAGTTACCAGCCTCAGAGATTGCAGCCCAAATAAATGCTTCACAGAGTTCAAGTCACAGACAGAGCTCAACATCAACTGTTCAGAGGAGTGTGAATCAGGCCTTCATGGTCAAATTGCTGCAAAGAAACCACTACTAAAGGACACCAATAAGAAGAAGAGACCTTCATGCGCCAAGAAACATGAGCAATGGACATTAAACCGGTGGAAATTTGTCCTTTGGTCTGGGGACCAAATTGGAGATTTTTGGTTCAAACCGCTGTGTCTTTGTGAGACGCGGTGTGGGTGAACAGATGATCTCCGCATGTATAGTACCGTAAAGCATGGAGGAGGAGGTGTTATGGTGCTTTGCTGGTGACACAGTGTGATTTATGTAGAATTCAAGGCACACTTTACCAGCATGGCTACCACAGCATTCTGCAGTGATACGCCATCCCATCTGGTTTGGGCTTAGTGGGACTATCATTTGTTTTTCCATAGGACAATGACCCAACACACCTCCAAGAAGGAGAGTGATGGAGTCACTACAAAGTCCTTCCTAACTCAGTTGCAGGAAAGGAAGGAAACCGCTCAGGGATTTCACAATGAGGCCAATGGTGACTTTAAAACAGTTACGTGGCTCTTTAATGGCTCTGATAGGAGAAAACTGAGGATGGATCAACAACATTGTAGTTACTCCACAATACTAACCTAATTGACTGAGTGAAGAGAAGGAAGCCTGTACAGAACAAAAATATTCCAAAACATGCTTCCTGTTTGCAACAACGCACTAAAGTAATACTGCAAAAAATGTGGCAAAGCAATTAACCTTTTGTCCTGAATATAAAGTGTTATGTTTGGGGCAAATCCAATACAACACATTACTGAGTACCACTCTCCATATTTTCAAGCATAGTGGTGGCTGCATCATGTTATACGTAATCGTTATGCTTGTAATCGTTAAGGATTGGGGAGTTTTTCAGGATAAAAAGATTAACGGAATGGAGTTTAGCACAGGCAAAATCCTAGAGGAAAACCTGGTTCAGTCTGCTTTCCACCAAACACTGGGAGATGAATTCACCTTTCAGTGGGACAATAACCTAAAACACAAGGTCAAATCTACACTGGAGTTGCTTACCAAGAAGACAGTGAATGTTCCTGAGTGGCTGAGTTACAGTTTTGACTTAAATCTGCTTGAAAATCTATGGCAAGACATGAAAATGGTTGTCTAGCAATGATCAATTTCATATTTGACAGAGCTTGAAGAATTTAGAAAATAATAAAATGGGCAAATACTGTACAATCCAGGTGTGCAAAGCTCTTAGAGACTTACCCAGAAAGACACAGCTGTAATCACGGCCAACGGTGCTTCTACAAACTATTGACTCATGGGTGTGAATACTTATGTAAATGAGATATTTCTGTATTTCATTTTCAATACATTTGCAAAAATTTCTAAAAACATGTTTTCACTTTGTCATTATGGGGTATTGTGTGTAGATGGGTTAGAGAAAAACATCAATTTAATCCATTTTGAATTCAGGCTGTAACATAACAAAATTTGGAATAAGTCCAGGGTTGTGAATACTTTCTGAAAGCACTGTATTTAAAATTGTTGAGTTATTTTGGAGTTATAGTGGATGCCACGCACCCTAGGGGCCAAATCTGGCGTGGCTCCATATCTATATATTTTCAGGGTAAATGCATCTACCTCTGTGTCAAATGTAATGCTTTTATTGAGTCAAAATGTCAGCTTAGTCGTATACCACGTAGACAAAATATAGATTATTTTTCATTCCTCCATATTAACACAGCAATCACGGTAAATGTTTAACAGATTCATGTTCTCTTACCCTTTCCACCTTCTACCTAACCTAAAGAGCAGATGCCATGGGTCTCTCTCTCTCTACACGTCTTCTAGGTACTTTTAGTGTGATTATTTAGAAAAGGGGATGCAGACTCATTTTAGTCATCAGGAAATAAGCCCACACTAGTAATCATGTCAAACATCTCGCTGACGGGACAAGCCTTTGATGATAGCATCAACAACAAATGGCTAAAATTTTAATGTGTGTGTGTGCAAGAATTCATGCATCAGCTTTTTCCCCCTGTTGTGTTAGAGTGCATTAAAGTGCATCTTTCTCCTGCAGTGCTGGAAGCAGAGTTTCCATAAACAAACCCAACTCTTCTCTGTATATATGTTCTCTGAAACATATTTTATTCATATATTCAGTTTTAAAAAGCATTGGGGGATATTGGGACAGGGGAGCAGTCCTCTACTGCATCCCAAATAGCATCCTATTCCCTATATCGTGGACTACTTTTGACCAAAGCCAAGTACACTTCATAGAAACCTAGTGCCCTTCATAAGGAGCCAAAGTACCATTCGCACAATCCTGTTGGGAGACAGGGAGAACAGGGCCCCTTACCTCTCCGTTTCCTTCCTCCTTCTCTTCCCTCGTCATCTCCTTCATCCATCTCTTCTGATCCACTGCCCTCCGACCCTGAGATCTCTTCCCCTGGAACAGCAGAACACAACAAAATTTAGTTCAGAAACTCTCCTTAAACCCTTAGCTCAGGTTAACTCTCCTTAAACCCTTAGCTCAGGTTAACTCTCCTTAAAGCCTTAGCTCAGGTTAAATTCTCCTTAAACCCTTAGCTCAGGTTAACTCTCCTTAAAGCCTTAGCTCAGGTTAACCCTCCTTAAACCCTTAGCTCAGGTTAACTCTCCTTAAACCCTTAGCTCAGGTTAACTCTCCTTAAACCCTTAGCTCAGGTTAACTCTCCTTAAAGCCTTAGCTCAAGTTTACTAGAACTATTCTCCATGAAGCATGCTTTTCAGTCTAAGACAAGGAAACAGGAAACCGGCCCTTAGTCTTTGGACCCAATCCTAACTTGAACGCAGAAGTGTGTTTGTCATATTACAACTCCTGTCTCAATAAGATAGCATTAATAGAGTGGAACACTAACTAACCTTCTTGGAGTTTCTTCTTAAGCTCTTCTATCTCCTTCTGGAACTGCCGTAGCAGGGCATCCTTGGGGTCCTCATTGATCCGGGCTTTGTTCTTAATGTTCTTGGCCCGGTTGGCGTAACGCAGCGTGCTGATGGTCTCGTCGTAGTTATAGTCCGCTGGGCCGATGTTCGCACACTGACCGTTGAAAAGGTTTATGACAATACGATATATATTATGACAGAGCAAAAACTTTTATGAGAGAACAGCAAGGAACGAGAGCTTGGTAGACAATCATAATAAATTAAATATTTCTATATATGTATTTATTAATGGTTTTCAAATTGGATTCCAGTTGGATGTAAATTGGCATTTGAGTCACTTAATCTAATCTATCCCCAAGCAATAAAAGTGATAAATAGCTACATGGACTATCTGAGTTAACCTTGTATCTTTATTGCCCTTTTATCTTTGTACTGTCTCTATGCACACGCACAGGGCCCTACACACTACACACACACACTCACTCCATCATCTGATCACTCACACATAACATACATTTATACTGACTCTACACACACACACTCACATACAAGCTGCTGCTACTCTGTTTATCTTATATCCTGTTCCCTAGTCCCCTTACCCCTATACATATCTACCTCCATCACTCCAGTATCCCTGCACATTGTAAATATGGTATTGGAACTGACCCTGTATATAGTCACCTTACCCCTATACATATCTACCTCCATCTCTCCAGTATCCCTGCACATTGTAAATATGGTATGGAACTGACCCTGTATATAGTCACCTTACCCCTATACATATCTACCTCCATCTCACCAGTATCCCTGCACATTGTTAATATGGTATGGAACTGACCATGTACAGTGAGGGAAAAAAGTATTTGATCCCCTGCTGATTTTGTACATTTGTCCACTGACAAAGACATGATCAGTCTATAATTTTAATGGTAGGTTTATTTGAACAAAAACGCATGTCAAAAATGTTATAAATTGATTTGCATTTTAATGAGAGAAATAAGTATTTGACCCCTCTGCAAATACTTGGTGGCAAAACCCTTGTTGGCAATCACAGAGCTCAGACGTTTCTTGTAGTTGGCCACCAGGTTTGCACACATCTCAGGAGGAATTTTGTCCCACTCCTCTTTGCAGATCTTCTCCAAGTCATTAAGGTTTCGAGGCTGACGTTTGGCAACTCGAACCTTCAGCTCCCTCCACAGATTTTCTATGGGATTAAGGTTTGGAGACTGGCTAGGCCACTCCAGGACCTTAATTTGCTTCTTCTTGAGCCACTCCTTTGTTGCCTTGGCCGTATGTTTTGGGTCATTGTCATGCTGGAATACCCATCCACAACCTATTTTCAATGCCCTGGCTGAGGGAAGGAGGTTCTCACCCAAGATTTGACGGTACATGGCCCCGTCCATTGTCCCTTTGATGCGGTGAAGTTGTCCTGTCCCATTAGCAGAAAAACACCCCCAAATGTTTCCACCTCCATGTTTGACGGTGGGGATGGTGTTCTTGGGGTCATAGGCAGCATTCCTCCTCCTCCAAACACGGCGAGTTGAGTTGATGCCAAAGAGCTCGATTTTGGTCTCATCTGACCACAACACTTTCACCCAGTTCTCCTCTGAATCATTCAGATGTTCATTGGCAAACTTCAGACGGGTCTGTATATGTGCTTTCTTGAGCAGGGGGACCTTGCGGGTGCTGCAGGATTTCAGTCCTTCACGGCATAGTGTGTTACCAATTGTTTTCTTGGTGACTGTGGTCCCAGCTGCCTTGAGATCATTGACAAGATCCTCCCGTGTAGTTCTGGGCTGATTCCTCACCGTTCTCATGATCATTGCAACTCCACGAGGTGAGATCTTGCATGGAGCCCCAGGCCGAGGGAGATTGACAGTTATTTTGTGTTTCTTCCAATTGCGAATAATCGCACCAACTGTTGTCACCTTCTCACCAAGCTGCTTGGCGATGGTCTTGTAGCCCATTCCAGCCTTGTGTAGGTCTACAATCTTGTCCCTGACATCCTTGGAGAGCTCTTTAGTCTTGGCCATGGTGGAGAGTTTGGAATCTGATTGATTGCTTCTGTGGACTGGTGTCTTTTATACAGGTAACAAAATGAGATTAGGAGCACTCCCTTTAAGAGTGTGCTCCTAATCTCAGCTCGTTACCTGTATAAAAGACACCTGGGAGCCAGAAATCTTTCTGATTGAGAGGGGGTAAAATACTTATTTCCCTCATTAAAATGCAAATGAATGTATAAAATTTTTGACATGCGTTTTTCTGGATTTTGTTGTTGTTATTCTGTCTCTCACTGTTCAAATAAACCTACCATTAAAATTATAGACTGATAATTTCTTTGTCAGTGGTCAAATGTACAAAATCAGCAGGGGATCAAATAATGTTTTCCCCTCACTGTATTTAGTCACCTTACCCCTATACATATCTACCATCACTCCAGTATCTCTGCACATTGTAAATATGCTATTGGAACTGACCCTCTATATAGTTGCTTTCTTACTTATTGTGTTCTTCATATTTCTTCTTATTTCTCGTGAGTGTTTTTTCTAGTATTCCATTGTTATTGATTGTTGCATTGTGGGGTTTTGAGTTTACAAGAAAGGCATTTCACTGTACTTGTGCATGTGACATTAAAACTAGTGAGTCATTGCTACCATTGATACTAATTGGGTTGCAACACAGAACTAGAATGAGTAGAACAGGCCGACACAATTAAGTCAATGATGCCATAATGGGTGTACAGGCAGCCATTTTGAGTGTACCCATAGCATTAAAGCAGGAGGAAGTAAAAGCAGGAAGTGTTGTTAGTTACCATCATGGTCTTGGAGTTTCCCCCCAGTGAGTCCTGCAGCAGGCGGGTGAGTTTGGAGTTCCTGTAGGGGACGTGGGTGCTCTTCCCGTCCACCAGGGCTGAGATTACGTTACCCAGCGTGGACAGAGACAGGTTGATCTTAGTGGCCTCTTTCAGCCGCTGGCCCGTCGCTCCCGTCTTCCCCTGACGCTCAGAACCCTGGGGGGGGGAGAGGGTACAGTGTGCTGGGGGGATTAACTGGTGTTTTTATGTTTTCTGTCTGTTTGCTATGTGTGAGCCACATGCCTTATAAAGTCAACGACACATTTCTATTCCACAAAAATGGACAATAAATGTTGAATCTGAATCTGATAAGAACATGCTCAACTGGCCTTACTGACATCACTTAGCGGCCTTTAAAAATGTATAACTGGAGTCAAAATGTTCACAAAAGTCCTGTATTGGAATTCAAATTATAATTGCCATTGCAGAGACTAAGAATACCCTAAGCAGAGAAATGTATGATGGTAATCTATACAGATTAGGTTATTCTATCGAAAAAAACTTTTAAAAAACAGGTACCGAGTCACCAATAATTTGCTTACTCCTGAAAAAGTTTCCTCTATGGGAGATTCCATCTGTTGAGTTAAACTATTTTAGTAAATGTTCATGTGACTTCCTTACCGCCAGATCCACTAAGTGGAGTTTTCCCATGCGCACGTGCTGGTCTCCATCCATTCCCTTCTCACTGCACTCGATGGTGATGGTGAAGATAGCATGAGAACGAGAGCTGTGTTCATTCATGTTGGTGGAGCCAACCGAGCCTGGGTGGGAAGAAAGAACACATTCAGAAACATAAAAAACTCATCAGATTGCATTTTCTTGGTCACACTTCATAGTAACGTCCATGAGTGTGTTGTAACCTTTATTTAACCAGGTAAAGACCCTTGAGGTTAGAAACCTATTTTGTGAGGGGGCCTGGCAAATGGTATACATGCTCATGAATTATAATGCTTAGAACACTTAGAAATGCTTAATGTGAAACTTTACGGTTCTTGTGCCCCATTGTCATAATCCTGTCCATGTCATCAGCGTTGTTCACCACATAACCAGACAGGTCCTTGATGTAAACACCCACATCTGGCCTCTCCTTCACCTGGCGGTCACACAGACACAAACCAATGACACGAGTTAGTAGCAGGCAACACTCTCTAATTCTTATTATGCATTAATATTTTAAGTTCCCTCCTGGGAACCAACAACGTTATCATGCTCATCTGCATTAGAAACCTAAGAACTGAATTATGAGAAGGGTAATCGTCTATAGTCCCCTTAACAGAGAACATCCCATACTCATGTGCTATGTCCTGTTCTCTCCTTTCAGGAACCAATAACATTGATGTATTATTGATTTGGTTATTGTGATCTCATCTCCACATCCACCAATGGAGATTAGTTATGATAAAGCAATCACCTCTAGTTCTCTTTCTGGTCCCCTAGTGTTGTGTAACGTCCCGTTGTGTCCTTCTAGGAACCAAACAACCATTGTTCATCTTTATCGTTTGGTCACTGTGGTCTTCAAATCAAATCAAACCAAGAAGCTGCTACCTATGAAGCTAGCGCCAGTGTTTTGTTTCTTATATGGTTAATCTAATTAATGGTCATAATTAGGGGTCATTTTCTTCATATCTACAGCTGCTTCGTACAGCTACTTCTTGCTAAATGAACGGGATGTTTATTCTGAGAAGCGTATCGTATCATATGAAACATCCTCTAACCTCCAGCCTCTGCATCTGGTCCTTCCCCAGCAGATCCCTCACTTCTTCATTGTAAATCTCCAGATAAGAGACGCGAACTAAGAACCTGCGGATGAGAGGATGATACTTATTTCAGATCAACCTCAAACTGAGAGACTGTGAGCAGCAAGCATGTCAAAAAACAGTGCCTGTCTTTTTTTATGGTAGGCCTAAGCGTTTTTCTGTTTACATTGACTCCAACCAAGTGTCTTAGCCAGTGTTGTTTGATTGAGGCCTTTTGCTCCCCTAGGGGCTGAAACGAATAAGTCAAGTCAGTCTTATCATGTTGCATCAAACAATTGCCTGGCAATAAACCAGTATTGTTTTATTGTTTTGCCTGTTTGTGTTAATGTCCTTACCGGGTGTCGCCCTCTGCTTTGGCGATGTGTCCGAACACATGAGCGAAGGAGTTGGGGATTATTCCTCGGAGCTCTGGTACTGCCCTCACTCCCTCCATGGTGAACGTCTTTCCTGTCCCTGTCTGTCCGTACGCAAAGATGGTCCCTGGAGAAAACACAGGCTCAGTATTAAAACATTAAGAGGCGGTTTCCCAGGCAGAGATTGAGCCTAGTCCTGGGACTAAAAAGCATGCTCAATGGAGAATCTCTACTAGGCTTAATCTGTGTCCGGGAAACCGCACCTACGTGGTGGATGAAACAGCAACACTCCTAATCTGAATACACACATCACTACATCTGAATGTAGGCTACCACTTATAAACAATTGGGGCTATGCTGAAAGGGAATTCACAAAAGCTATCTGATAATAGGCCTATCAGTCTCAGTCAGTCAATACATGCAATTGTGTCGTTTTGCATGGTGTGTCAGCAACAGTAAATGGACAAAGCATTTCTGTCATTCAGATCCTCTCTCCACTTACCATTGTAACCCTCTAATACTGAGTCTATGATGGGGCGGGCTGTCAGATTGTAAACGTCTAGCTGTTTGCTGTCTGGTCCGAACACTGTGTCAAATGTGAAGGTCTTGGGGGGTTCGTGGGGGGTCTCTAGTTTGTTGACGGTTATGGTCCCTCGGTTCTCATCCACACTGACGGCCTGCTTGTGGCCCATACTCCTCTCCTTCTGGTTCAGCGGGCGACATCGCACAACCACTTTGACGTTGTCCATGACCTCCGGCTTGTCAGATTTGTCCATCTTGTTGCTCTGCAAGGGGGAATATCTATGCATGATGCCAGCCACCTAGTAGCTACATGATTTCAGAGCCGATGCCTCAGCATGATGTAATGTAATGTAACATGAAAACACGCTCATAGCTAACGTTATTAATCTCACCACAGCAGAGGGAGAGATTAAACTGGCTGGCTAACTTCAATGAATCCAGTTAGCAAGCTAACATTGTTAGTTAGCTAATTAACTGTCAAGATATTTGAAATAACTAGTTGCTAGTTCAATGGATGGACAATCAATACTTGCGTGCACGTAGATAACTAGCTAGCTAGTTGGCTGGCTAGCTAATCTGCAATGTATTACATGCAAACGCTTGCTGTTGCTAGGCAAGCAAACTAGCTAATGTTAGCATGTTAAATAACCAGCTGCTGCATCGCTATGCACAACGAATAATCGTAGTTAACACAACAACTTGGCTAACTAGACGCCCTTGCTGCATCCTGGTTTTAATGTCTATGGCTGCATCTCTATCAAATATAATGACACTGTCTAAAACAGGTTGAAAATAGCATTAGTTAGCGAACTCAACCAAATCCCAAAACGAAACTAGCTAGGTAAGGTAGTTAGCTAAACTAACGTTAGCATCACATAATTCAGGGTGGAGGAAGGGAGGAACCCCTCTGAAAAACACAAAAACAGCGAAATAAAAAGAGCCCACTTACCGGCATTTTAAGACTTCAGTTTTGATGTTTCAATTATATGAGACGATAGCAAAAGCTTTTTGATGTTAGTGTTTATCTTATCAAAATGATGTAGATGCCAAAGCAGTGGCCATTTCATCAGTGGACCATTTCCTCCAATGCTGATAACATTTGTTGTCACGTCTGGACGAATTGAATCTGCGGCTGCGCAGTAAAATGATGAGTGGGAGAAGCTAAGTACAGTAGAGATGGCATAGCTCACTATGTTTGTTTTAATGAACAAGAATGTCAAATGTTTGTATTCACTTAAAATGTTAGCTGAAAAACAGGGGAAGATACAGAGTAAGATGAAAAACAGAACAGGGGATCATGATCCATGCAACAGCCAATAAAACAAGTATTTTAGCTACAATGTGTCATCAATTATTTATTTTCAGCACTCACAAAGAGCTGAGAAGTAGAATCCCTTAGAGGACACATGTGTATCTGTTCTCAGAAAAGTCTTCAAAGTGCATGACAGAACACATACCACAGGTGTGCAGTTGTTTTGCAAAACCAGGTTAAGAATGTAACAAATGCATGCTATAGATAACGGAAGCGTTGTTTATCACCACTATGTGATCAACACTTTTGCATACATTTTGCCTCTGGTAAGAGCGCTGTTATTGTTTTTCAAATCTAGACTTTGTGGGCTTTGCAAAGGCACTGACTAGTGTGTCTAATAGCTCTTGAATAAAGAAAACACTCATTATTTATGCAAACCATTGGTCTGAGGTGGGTTTGTGCAACTGGGATTGGTAATAATAACTGTATACAGTAGGTCTATGTGCAACTCATGCATCTGCACATCAAAATATACACAAATATATCTCATAACCTCATAGTTATCTATCTACAGTTTAGAACAGGTCTAAGGAATCTCTGTATTTGGTCATTATATGGCAGTAATACAATATATTATTTTCAACACAAAGATAACATACACACACACTCTTCCACAGATTGGGCATCTCATTTGGCAGTGTCAACACGTGGAGATCCATAGAAATAGAATTGCTAGAATGGACATTTCCTTTTCAAGTCATCGTTACGTGATGGGGTGGGCCGGCAGCCATATTGAGTGTACCCATGAGTGTACTATCAAATTGTCGCGGTCTAAGGAGCTTCTCCCCTTCTAGTCATTCTATTTCTATGTGAAAAACACACATATAATAATAACTAAACACTGCAGGCAGTCAGCTGAACCGGTCTAAGAACTGTAGAACACTGCTATGGAAGAGGCCCGTGTGGCCACTGCTCTCCTGGGTGAGCAGAACCCGTCCGTCGGGCCGATGTCTGTGGAGCAGGACAGGCTCACCCTGCATCAGGCTCATCTCTGACTCCGTCTGGGCCTGGTAGGATGTCGCTACTCTGTGTCTGAGGGGGACAGAGAAAGGGGAATGAGTGGAATAAATAAAGAAAGAGATTTTCTATCTAACACATAACATAATAATATGCCATTTAGCAGACGCTTTTATACAAAGTGACTTACAGTCAAGCATGCATACATTTTACGTATGGGTTGGCCCCAGCGGGAATCGAACTCCCGACCCTTGCGATGCAAGTGAGCCACAGAAATCCTACTTCCTGAAGCCAGACACAAAGCAGGTCAGTTTGTGAAAGAGGAGGTGCTGGTTAATCTCATCACAGATCACAGCTGCCTACCTGCTAGGACTGCTGGACTGTATTGACGCTGATGGTGCTGATGATGATAAAGATGAAGGCTTCTGATTGGAAGTCAGAACATCTGAGGGGTTTGTCTCCAGACCTTTCCTAAGAACAGGAGCCTTGCCTTCTTTCAGTATGATCCCAGGCCCGTCTCGCCCCAGGGTGAGTGATGGAGCCCAGACCTCCAGGGGAGGTGGACCAGGCCGGGTACTGTAGGGGGGCTGGCTACCCGAGGGCAGGGATGTGGTCCTGGACCGTGGTGGAGGGGAATCAGGCTGGGTCAGGAACCGCACTGACTTGGTGGGCTGAGGGATACAACACATACACTAACAATGTTGACATTATGATACAGCAGGGGAATAAGAATAAATATGATTGATGCTGGATATAGCAGACAGTGGCAGTCAGCATGTGCTACGTGAAAGAGTTCATGGTAAGAGAGAATTTCACAATAAAGACAAACTGAAATAGAAGTCAAAGTAGACATGAAGCCAGTCAACTATCCCTTCAAGCTACTTAATAAGATCTAGAAGGCAGGTGTGTGTGTGTGTTACCTTCTCTGTGTTGTTCTTGAGGGCATCTGGTCTCACTAGGATGGAGTGGATGGAGTGCTGACCATTCGATGCTGCTTGCCTTGTCTCCAACACCTGCCTATCAAATGCCTCTCTGGCAGCGGTGTCTCTGTCCTTCATAAAACCACCACTAGAGGGCGCCGGTCCCTCAGACATCCAGGCCAGAGATCTGTTGTGATTGGGAAGGATGGTCATGTGTTGTTTCTTCCTGAGCAGAGCAGGGGAGTAGCCAGGGGCCTGGATGTGGCTAAAGTTCTGGCTGTGAGAATGGGACTGAGAATGGGGCTGAAGGCCTGAGGTGGCGCTGGTGGTGTGGGGGTAGTGGTTACCGAACTGGGGTGAGTTCTTGGACGAGCTCTGGGATGAACTCTGACTGTGGGTCTGGGATTGAAGGGCTGAGCTGGATGAGATGGTGGTGTGGGGGTAGTGGTTTCCCCGCTGAGATGAGCCTGAGAGGAGAGTCAAAATGGATCCTTGTGAAATCAAATCAATCTAATTTCCACTGCACTTCTTGGTTCCATATTGTGATGATCAGACATATAAACTACAATAGAGAAGCCTTCTTTACAGGTTTACTATCTCTGACTGGTCAATACTGCATAATGTTAGGATAATAACATGGTTGAGACTAAGAATACAGCACAATGGAACTGTGGAAACCCAACAGAGTTACAAACTTCCTTCACTCTCACCTCTGTGTGAACGATGGAAGACCCTCCTCACTGTGTCCCATCCCTCTGAGCCCACCCCGTGCAGGGACTGTCTCGCGGCGCCGCCTGATGACATCATAGGCTGCGTGGCCATGGATGCGGACTGCTGCGGAACCCGTTGTCCAGTAGAGTAGCTAGTTCCATCTGAGTTGACCCTGTCGAGAGCTAGGACCACCGCTGGGGTCTTGGAGGACGAGGAGGTTCTTTTTCCAGGGACTGTACCAAGGCCTGTTGTCACTGCCTTGGACTCCAACAGCCTGGCAGAGGTTCTGTGGCAGGCAGGGAATAGATAGATATTGGTGTCAAAATCAATAAATGAGGTGTCGATGACACAAATGAAAGTCAAAAAGATGGAACCACTTTAGGAAAGTACTGTCACTGATGACCCCACATCAGCTAACAGAAAGGCTGATCCTTCCAATGATTATATTAACCACAACATTACAATCCAAATTACAATTGTCACTCGTTTCTCACGGTCCGCTTAATAAAACCGTCAGAAATAGCTCTCCCGCTTACCTGAGGACAGGTGTGACGTAGTTGCCGGGCAGGATGCCCACTTTGCCCGTCCGTAGAGAGAGGCCTCGGAGCCAGCCCTCCTTAAACTTCCCATACACCCCCACCATCTCCCCCTTCCTCAGCTCCAGTTCCTCAGAACGACGGGGCTTGTAGGAGTACAGAGCAGCACACCTGAAGAACAGATTACATGTTAGGTTACCACAATCTCACACATAGATGACAAATTCCATATCATCTCATGTTTTTAAAAATGGTGGCTCAGGACCTTTCTAGGTCCTGTATGATTAATAGTGTTGCACCGCGCCTCCCGAGTGGCGCAGCAGTCTAAGGCACTGCATCGCAGTGCTAGAGGTCGTCACTACAGACCCGGGTTCGATCCCGGGCTGTATCACAACCGGCCGTGATCGGGAGCCCCATAGGGTGGAGCACAATTGGCCCATCGTCGTCCGGGTTAGGGGAGGGTTTGGCCGGGGGAGCTTTACTTGGCTCATCGCGCTCTAGCGACTCCTTGTGGCGGGCCGGGCGCCTGCAGGCTGACCTCGGTCGTCAGGTGAACAGTGTTTCCTCCGACACATTGGTGCGGGCGGGTGTTAAGAAGCGCGGTTTGGCGGGTCGTGTTTCGAGGACACATGACTCGACCTTCGCCTCCCGAGCCCGTTGCAGCGATGAGACAAGATCGAAATTGGGGAGAAAAAAATGGGGTAAAATACAACAACAACTAAAAATTGTGTTGCACCACGGTTACTCCGCTGTTACTCTACTGTTACTCCGGTGTTACGCTACACCATTCTGGAGTTACTACTTTGGTTAGTACTGTTTTCCTGCAGTGTTTCTCCAAGGCTACCACTATGTTACTACTCCAGTGTTAGTCCAGTGTTAGTCAAACTCTGATGGAGTTGCTAGGTGGCGGACTGCTTTGTATCAGCGTAGGTTGTTACTACCATGTTACTACTGTATTACTCCAGAGTTACTACTATGTTACTACTACGTTTCTCCAGTGTTACTCACACGCTGGTGGATAGCTGCTGTGTAGAGGACAGAGTGGTGTCAGCAGAGGTTACGTATGTACTTTGTTACTCGTGTATTACTCCAGAGTTACTCACACACTGATGGAGAGCTGCTGAGTGGATGACTGTTTGGTGTCAGCAGAGGCTGAGGGGGTCTGGGGGTTGAGCAGAGCCATGGTGACGGTGGGAGGAGCTTCACCACTACTCATCTTCCTCTCACCCTATAGACAGAGAGGAGGAGGAAGACCAGGATGTAAACATGTATACTGCCATAGTGTTCTTCCTCTCACCCTATATAGAGAGGAAGACCAAGATATCAAAGAGTAAAGTCGAAGAAGATATCATGTAAACTGACCTGTCAAAGACAGAGGAAGACTAAGATATCCTCATGTTAAATGTGAAATGGCCTGTATGTGGTATAAATGAGAAATAAAGCAGACTTTAAAGCAGGAACGCTAGAAAGTGATAACCTGGGAGAGATAGACATAGGAAGATAGACGGACATAAAACCTGTTTGATTTAAAAGAAGAATATGAATTGAAGGTCATAGGTCATAGGGTAAATCCATTTGAATTGAATCACTCTTTGACAGCATCCCTTTTGATTTAAACAAAACATTCCAAAACATTCAGGAGATAAAGTTGGCCCATTTTTCATACCCCACAACTATTTTATTATTATTTTTTTATTTTTTTATGTTTTTGAATAAAAATGATCATTTTTAAACCTTTAGTGTCAATTATATAAAAACCCGTAAACTCAGATTAAAAAAAATATATATATTTGCATATGTTGTAGCTTAGACCGTTTCACATCATCTGAAGTTGTGTTGTGCCAGCCATCGGTTGAGAGACAAAACATGCTCTTGAATGCAGGGTGGACGTAATTTCAATCATAGAAATATAATTCATAGAATGGACCTATCCCTTCAGACCACTGCAATTTAGCTGGTACAACATTGACATTTAAATTGAATGGAAATTTGAACTTCTAATTATTACCACAAAGATGGCAGCAGGTCCACCCATCATCAAATGTCAACTTAAATGGTAATTTCTCTTCTATTATGTATATTTATTTGATTTCAATAGGTTTCCTATGGAGGATTGAGAGTATAACTTAAAACAACAGCTATTCCCATTCAAGTCAACATTCTCTGATGTGTGGACCTTCAACCATCTTCGTGGTACCATTTGAAAGTTGAAATGTAAAATTGTATTCCCATTTTAGTACATGTATCAGCCAAAACATGACACCCACCCTGTATTCAAGAGCATGTTGCGACTCAACCGATGGCGGACACAACACAAAAATATATAGAGGCGAAAGAAACGCACACCTATTTAGGCGAGGTGCGGACGGAGATAACGGAGCAGAACACCTATTTAGGCGAGGTGCGGACGGAGATAACGGAGCAGAACACCTATTTAGGCGAGGTGCGGACGGAGATAACGGAGCAGAACACCTATTTAGGCGAGGTGCGGACGGAACTAACGGAGCAGAACACCTATTTAGGCGAGGTGCGGACTGAGATAACGGAGCAGAACACCTATTTAGGCGAGGTGCGGACGGAGATAATGGAGCAGAACACCTATTTAGGCGAGGTGCGGACGGAGCTAACGGAGCAGAACACCTATTTAGGCGAGGTGCGGACGGAGATAACGGAGCAGAACACCTATTTAGGCGAGGTGCGGACGGAGATAACGGAGCAGAACACCTATTTAGGCGAGGTGCGGACGGAACTAACGGAGCAGAACACCTATTTAGGCGAGGTGCGGACGGAGATAACGGAGCAGAACACCTATTTAGGCGAGGTGCGGACGGAACTAACGGAGCAGAACACCTATTTAGGCGAGGTGCGGACGGAGATAACGGAGCAGAACACCTATTTAGGCGAGGTGCGGACGGAGATAACGGAGCAGAACACCTATTTAGGCGAGGTGCGGACGGAACTAACGGAGCAGAACACCTATTTAGGCGAGGTGCGGACGGAACTAATGGAGCAGAACACCTATTTAGGCGAGGTGCGGACGGAGATAACGGAGCAGAACACCTATTTAGGCGAGGTGCGGACGGAACTAACGGAGCAGAACACCTATTTAGGCGAGGTGCGGACTGAGATAACGGAGCAGAACACCTATTTAGGCGAGGTGCGGACGGAGATAATGGAGCAGAACACCTATTTAGGCGAGGTGCGGACGGAGCTAACGGAGCAGAACACCTATTTAGGCGAGGTGCGGACGGAGATAACGGAGCAGAACACCTATTTAGGCGAGGTGCGGACGGAGATAACGGAGCAGAACACCTATTTAGGCGAGGTGCGGACGGAACTAACGGAGCAGAACACCTATTTAGGCGAGGTGCGGACGGAGATAACGGAGCAGAACACCTATTTAGGCGAGGTGCGGACGGAACTAACGGAGCAGAACACCTATTTAGGCGAGGTGCGGACGGAGATAACGGAGCAGAACACCTATTTAGGCGAGGTGCGGACGGAGATAACGGAGCAGAACACCTATTTAGGCGAGGTGCGGACGGAGATAACGGAGCAGAACACCTATTTAGGCGAGGTGCGGACGGAGATAACGGAGCAGAACACCTATTTAGGCGAGGTGCGGACGGAGATAATGGAGCAGAACACCTATTTAGGCGAGGTGCGGACGGAGATAACGGAGCAGAACACCTATTTAGGCGAGGTGCGGACGGAGATAACGGAGTAGAACACCTATTTAGGCGAGGTGCGGACGGAGATAACGGAGCAGAACACCTATTTAGGCGAGGTGCGGACGGAGATAACGGAGCAGAACACCTATTTAGGCGAGGTGCGGACGGAGATAATGGAGCAGAACACCTATTTAGGCGAGGTGCGGACGGAGATAACGGAGCAGAACACCTATTTAGGCGAGGTGCGGACGGAGATAACGGAGCAGAACACCTATTTAGGCGAGGTGCGGACGGAGATAACAGAGCAGAACACCTATTTAGGCGAGGTGCGGACGGAGATAACGGAGTAGAACACTTGAAAAAGAAAAGGAAAGCCTCACACTCTAGGCGCTCAGATGCAATAATTTAATAACCTAATAGCCAACGTTTCGACAGACAAGCTGTCTTCATCAGGGTATAATGACAAACACTGCGGGTCACTTGTTTCTATAGTGTCAAAGGACACACGCAGGTGTCTGTAATCATGGCCGGGTGTGGCCTAATAGCATTGGTTAATTCACAGATAAACAGAACATACAAAAAACATGGATAGCATACGATCATAGATACAACTTGGCTACATAGGCCCACAAACATTTACAATGAATAGCAAAATCACAATAATGGCTTCAAATCAAAGTCTACGTTGAGACCGAAGGGAGCAAGGGTCTTTAAATTAAAGATCCAGGCAGCCTCTCGTTTTAACAATAAGTTGTCGAGGTCACCGCCTCTCCTAGGGAGGGTGACATGTTCGATGCTGATATAACGTAGGGATGAAATCGAGTGGTTCGCTTCCAAAAAGTGGGCAGCGACTGGGTATGTCGAGTTTTTGCACCTAATGGTGCTACGATGTTCCGAGATTCGTACTTTTAATTCGCGCTTTGTTTTACCCACATAATTTTTACCACAAGGACAAGTTATAAGATAAATAACTGCCTTAGTGGAGCACGTAATAACACCTTTGATTGGGATCTGTTTCCCTGTTTGGGGGTGTTTAAAGGATCTACATTTGTAAGTGCCATTGCATTGAGCGCAGCCGTTACACTTGTAGTTTCCATCCGGTAGAGGCGCAAATAGACCTTGTGCAGGGATATTTAGGGGTGGTAAATCAGAGTTTACCAATTTATCTCTGAGGTTTCTGCCCCGCGAGAATACGACCCAAGGGAGGGTCCGAAAACACATTTCCAATACTGTCATCGGATCTTAGAATGTGCCAATGTTTGTGAATGATTCACTTAATTTGTTCAGAGCACAACACAAAAACCTTAGATGATGTAAAATAGGGTCAACATATGCGAATATGAAAACAGAGTTGACGTGTTTTTAGATAATTGAGGTTAAAGGTAAAAAAATAACATTATTCTTATTATTAAATGGTTTGACAACCCTGTTTGTATGCTTTTAAATGTGATATAAGGTGAATGCACCTATTTGTAAGTTGCTCTGGATAAGAGCGTCTGCTAAATGACGTAAATGTAAATGTAATATCAATCTCAACCATTTATCTTTTCCAGTGATGAAGACATGGATGTCTCATGGTGTGGTGGGGTATTTAAAATGGGTCAACTTTGAGCACCTCAGGTCCAAAAAGTCACTTTCTGAGCACTTCTACAATGGGCAAATATGTATGGAAGGTTTCGTTCAAATCAAAAGGGGATTTACCCCACACTGCAGATACAGTCCCAGGTGATGAAGTAGCAGGCTGTGGCCCAAATGGAACCCTATTCCCTATGTAGTGCACTACTGGTCAAAAGTAGTGCACTATATAGCTAGGGAATAGGGGTGATTTGGGCCGTAACCTCAGTGTTCCACCTGGTAAGCCACTGTCATTGTTATTTCATGATGGGAACAGCAAAACATGCTGATGATTTTAGAAATGTGTTTCTGCCCTCAACCAGTCAGTCTCTTCACTATAAATAATGATTAATTTGCTGTGAAACACAGTACAGAGCATAGAGTGTGCCAAGCCTACCTACCGCGATACAGAAGGGGCCTTTTTAACTAAACATCTCTACATCACTAGAACTGCAGAGAGCTGAAAAGGTCTGTGAGTCAGTACTGATGCAGGTTTAGTGTGGAGTCAGTACTGACAACCTGAGGTGCGTCTCCCAACGAGTCAGACCACAGCCTTCAGGATGATAATGACACTTCATTATGTAACCAAGCCACTCAAAATAGATATTGACTCATTTGGAGAGGCTTCGTATCTATTTTGTTTAAAAAAATATGTGCGTCACTCAGTCACATTAGGCTAGTAATGTTGACGTTATCATCGCGTTGCCTAGGAGTCTACGGTAATTTCAGAGTGGGTGTGATGACATTATGGTGATACTGTACGACAATCAGGCATGGAGCTATTTACTACACAACATTATTAAAGCAATAATGTTGGCCTCAGGTTGTTTGAGGGGTAAGGACTCACAGTGGAGTACTGTGGTGTAACTCCTACCTACTTTTTTTTCTCTCTTCTCCCCCCTCACCCTCCCCCTCCCCTCCCCCTCCCCCTCCACTCCCATTA